GCCTCTGTTTGATCTCTACTTTTCACAGCACCAATTCCCCTGCAGTGTAGCAGAATTCTTTGCCATCAGCCTTTTTGCCCACCGGATCCAAAGAAGGGAACAGAAGCATGGCAAAACTTTGCACAAAACACACTCCTACCATGCCTGCCCGACAGCAGTGTTACTACCCTACCCTTTCAGCCGCAATCAGTTAAATACAAAACCAGACTTGCATTCTTCCTTTACGTACTCAGAAAAGGAAATCCACATTTATATTCAAAATCCACATTCAAATATACCACTGGTCAAATCTTAACCATCTTACGGTGTCTGAAAGGCCAAACACATATTTGCAGAAAACCTCCCCCCCTTCCCAATCCCCTGTTGCCCCCAGAACAACCTTCCACCTCATGTGCAAGCTCTTCCAATATGACAGCATCCGACATCGGTGCTAGGACACAACCGTGACGGTGCGCTGGTGCTTCCATTACACACACCTATTCTCAAAAGTTTACAGCTGAGCTTTGAAGTTCACTTCATGCTGCAGCTTGGCGTGCAATTCCATTACTGGACAAACCGAAGAAAACATGTGACAGTTTTTCAGCTGTGAGACATCAGCAACTGATTCATGCTGGTTGAGATTTAACTTTCAAACTTCAAAATAAGATCCCTTCCATCCACGCCCAACGTTTTTGCAGGGGATTTTTTCACCCCCCAATGGCTGTTTCTCATGGAGCTGCCTTCCAGCACCCTTCCCACAGACCCTGCAAAAGTGGTCCCAACACCACTAGACCGGCACTTCCAAGGCTTGGTAGGACCCTTCTTGTTTTTCCCATGGAGTCTGTGGATGGAGCTCTGTATGTAACAACGCTCAGTTCTTTTCTCTGGTCTTGGCTCATGCAAGCAGATTGATCAAACAGTGTTTTATATGTTTGCTGAACTCTTTGCAATGAAGGCCGATTCCTTAAAAATAAAACAGAAGGAATGTTGTGGTATTGTATTACAGTATTCTAGCTCTGAAAAATGTTGCTGTGTTGTTTTCGGCTATGGTCTAATGTCACAGATGTTCCCTTTCTTAAAATGGAGGGAAAGATCAGAGCACCATTACCCTTAACTGGGAATTACAGACCTTTATTTTTTAAGAGGATGTAGAGTTTTATTCTTCGGCAGACGATGGTTTTTTTCATTTGATAAGAGGATGCAAGTTGGCATGCAGTGTGGTTTCCTTTGTTAGTCAAAAAATCTACCTTTACGTTAAATATTTTTATTACACCAAATATTGAAAGGAGGAAGAATTCAATGGCTGGAATCCACAGATCTCTTATCCCATGTTTAAAATTTGTACTTTTGTTTGTGTCTTTATGATACTATGTAACATTCTATATTATAACAGTCAAACAACTCATCAAAGGTCCAATGAGAAAGAGTCACAAAGAAATTTAAATGCTTCAAATACACCCTCAGTTTCACATACCTTCAGTTCTGCTGAGCTACTTCTCTACACCTAAGTAGAGAACATTTTAGACACTCTGACTTAGCCTTGCATCATCAGAACAATTTATGTGGACGAGAAATAAATTCAACAGGAAGAAAAAACTGCACCATTTGTCACTGTCACTTGAAACTTGAAACTGCAATTTATTTTTTCCAGAATGCTGCATTTTAACAACAGTTGATTCTCTCTTTAGTGTGAAAGCACCGATGTTTCACGTACATTATAACATCGCTTTGGACTATTGGAGTTTTTATGCCTGGCCACCAAATACCACGTCTAGTAAAATGCAGTGTATGGGGACCAAGCTGTTTCTCTCCTGCATAAAACTTCTTTCTACTTAGCAGCCATAACGCACATGAGACAATGTATTTCGGAGTACTTAATGCACATTTCAAGCGAGTAAAAGAATTCCTCCTTCACTCTCACACCTCCAGACAGTTCGGGACATAGAATAACCCAGGAACAACCTGCCCCAATCTCGCTGCTACAGTAGGACTGCCAGACGACAAACTGTGCTGTATCCAATCCTGCTCTGCCAAGTGCAACTCCAACGTCTTACCCACCGCCGCCGTACCCAGGCAAGAAAACTAGCGTAAGCAAGTGGACTATGGCGCTAGGAAGAAATGTACAAGTTTTATTTTTAAACATCACTGGAACTGAAAAATAGTCGTATGGCTTATTTATATTTCAGGAGATGGTAGTGAATAAGTTAAAGAATATTTCATCCCAAAACATACGTTGCTTTCATTTATAGCTAAGCTAATGTACACATATGATTTCTTATTTTCATAAATGTCAAGCACCCACCTTTTTCCCCCCACAAAGATTTACAAGTACATGCATGGCACTTCCTACAAAGCTGTCGTGGGCTAAAGGCTTACACAGAATGATTTTTTTTTTTTGAATAAGAAATATTAATCAGACCAAAATATAATCATTTAAATCAACTTCTTCCTGAGCAACTTAGAATTTGGAATGTGCTGAAAAGTTTCAATAAATAAGTCAAAGATTAACCAGCTTAAAACGTACCTTTTAACAATTAAGTAAAATATATTTCATGACAGACGAATAGGCTGTAGGACCAGGAATCTTAGACGCTATGTGCCAGATAAATTTATGAAGTACCATTCGAGGAGGAGAGGCCAGGTTGATTGTTACGAAAAACACAACAACGTTAAAACCTAGCGAGTAAATCATTAAACAGGTTTTGTATTTAGGTTATAAGTAGTGATGGCTGAAGATACCATTAAATAAACAGATAAAAACAGACTTTACGGTAAGCGGCAGTGAACTTGCAGGAAGGGTGAATGTGTTAAGTGACTGATTATTCTGTTACAATGTTGGCAAAAAGAATTCAAACAGAATTTCTGAAAGGTGAGAGTATTAGTTTTCTTTCCAAAATGTAACAACTCCACAGTGTGTAAACTAATCATTACTCTTTCAATGTAATTTCATAGAAACCACTTAAAATATACAATGCAGCAGATTCATATTTTAGCTAGTATGTTAGTTGTTATCTGTGCCATTTTCAGCTTTCTTTAACGTGCTCCCCCACGGTAGTGCATTGCTACCACCAACCTGGGATGTTAATAATGAGAACAGAATGCCCTACATAACATTTTCTGTAAGTTAGCATCTTGTCTTAACACGATTACACTTCTTTATTTTCGTTCTCTGCGTGTAGGTACAGTAAAGACTGACTGGTGATGAAGATGGGCCATAATGTTTATTGGCTCTCAGCAGGCTCATGGAAGAGGAAACCCTTGGAAAGCACATTCGAACTTAGCCCGAGTTTGTATGTCTCATCCATCACAAAATAACTTTTGCTTGTTATTTCAAACCGAAGGATTACCTCGCAGATGGCAGACATGGTGCCGAGGCAGCTGCAGAATAGGAAGCAAAACCTGCCCGGTAGATGTTTGAGAAAGGACGTGAGTTAGATAGAGGTGCATCGCCCCTGAAGTGTTACTGAGACTCATCCCGGCAAGGAGCTGCAATTCCTCAGCCCCGCTTCTTTCCTGTGCTCTAGGATAGGAATTTATTGCTATCATCCTCCACTAGTTCAGCTTCCTCTAGTCAACAGAGATGCACAAGAGGCCAAGGCCTCATCCAGACCCCCAAAGCCCCCCTGTTCTGCTACGGAGCAGCCAGCCAAATAGCTCTGCCCGTTGCTGCGTGCAGGTCCGTCACTTCTGCGCCACCGGTCCTGGCAGGCTGTCGAATAGCCGGCAAGCCTGCACATCACAGGGAACCCCAGGGACACTCACCTTAAAGACAACAGCATGTCACATATCGCAGCTATTCCCTTTTCCCCTCCCAGCCTCCACCCATCCCCTTTCTAGTGTTTGCTGATAATACTTGTAGTGATTAACAAGGGCAACTTTCACAGTGACTCTCTTACCAACCTATCACTGAATCGGCTTTGGTTTCACAGAATATGCCTTCTTCTTTTCTTTGTTTTATCATTCCTAAATATTTCAACTAGAGAAGTTGTGTATGTCCATATTGTTAATTTTAATTCTAGCCATGCTAAAAGCAGATGTCTGGCGTTTGCGCTGGTGGGGCAGCTGCGTTCAGCTTCAGATGTGAACAACTAAACTCTGCGATCGCAGAACTACCAGTCATGCTTAACAGGAGTTCCAGGTCATCTACATTTTTTAATGAGTGCCTTTTTCTGTATCTCTTTGGATTTGTGACCCCTAAGAATAAAAAAAATCTACAAATACCCTTCCTGAACATAAAAACTGTACACGGCACCTTTTTCTTCAGAGTCTAATAGAAACGTACTCAACTGCGGAAACAAAACTCTTCAGTTTAGGTAACCCTGCCTTACACTTTTCATCCGTTGTTGCCATTCACTGACCAGGTAACTTCTTCCACTCTATGAACTAGAAGGGTTTACCAAAAACATCTAGTTCCTGTAACTTGCCTTATGCCCACTAACATTCATTTGCCAGAATAGCAGCCTCGCTCCTCCCACACAGGGTAATTCAGAAGCCATTATCTAGCCCCCTTCTGAGCCTGTTATCCTCGATGTGCACAGACACGGCAATGGCTCTGACCGTACCACTGGGATACCAGTGTGCTCCGGGCAGAAAGAGGCAATCTTCCCAAATGGCTCACTGCCCATAGTCTGCATTGCTGGTAGTTAATGCCGCAGTGTTATGCAGTGAAGATTTGTTTCTGGAGAAAGAGAAAGATGAGAGTCTGTAAAATTCACTTTTCAAGACCACCTAATCTATTCTTTTATGTTTTACAGGTTCCCAGAGGACTATTGTGTACTCCAAAAGTTATTTTGTGATGGACAGTAGATACTTCTCTCTTGAACTATGCTATAGCGAGGATGCTATAGAGCCAACGCCGTATAATGAATCAAACCTGCAAAACCAGGTATCTCCCAATGGCCCCAGCATGTGGGAATGGCCTCTTCCGTTCTGTTTCAAACGCTGCTGCGCATTAACTCAGTTCCTTAAGGAATTACTTTTAATAATAATAATTAAAAAAAATCTTAAGAAAGCTGGAGGGGTCACCAGAAGAGAAAGGACAGCTCTTCCATCCATCACCTTTTATAGATATCCTCTAGCCACTTTTCATCATCTTCTTCATCGTCTATCGGTTCTTCTGTTTCCAGGGGAGAAGGAATGAAGAACTCGGGCCTGGGACGTGGTTTCCTGATATGAGACTTCAGTCCGAACTTGCGCTTTAGCAGGTGGAACTGTTCTTTGACATAGTAATAAAACTCATATTCATATCTCATGCGTTGGTAGAGGATCTGTATTGCTTCTGGAGAGGGGACGGTCTTTTTCACTGTCACAGTCAGATTGCCAAGTTTCCTATGTTCTGTGAAAAAAACCAAACAAACAACATGGTGGGCGCTGATTAATGAGATCAGACCTAAACTTTTTTTTTTAAAAAGATGAAGGCATAGCCCTACTGCATTACTGATACAAATGAGCTCAATCTGTCTCCTTAATAACGGATTTACTTTTAACAAGAGAGGAAAAAATATAGATGTTTGAAGTCGGACTTGCATGTTTAAATATGGCTAGTTCATACATGGCATTTGGCATTGCGTGTAGTCACCGAGGATCTTAATTGGCACTGGTTATCTGAAAATGCAAATTAGGTCATACCAATTACGAGCATAAACTACACGTAGAGAAACCCATAATCTTGCCTAGCTTTGGAAATTTTGCCTGATGCATGTGAAGTATATATCCAGCAGGCAGCTGAGCTGAGCTAATCAATTGTTTCCTATGTGGCATACTACGTCGTGTCTCAGTTTTGCTTTATTATTGTTCAAATCTAAACAGATATATATCAACCTAAATCCATCTCAGGCTAGCACCAAAGCATTGTTGGCATCACCACATGACATCTCAAGACCAAACGCGCCTGCTGATTTTCTTGTCCTGTTATACCTGCTAATTAAACTAAACTCATCTTCCTGTCGTGCCCTGGGACTGGAAGATTTCAGTATGTTTTTCTTCACCTGACAACTTTTGCTTTGGTAAACCAAAATAAAACACCTTTATTGCCGATAAAGAATTAGAGTTACTAACAAAAATATTGAATTGCCTCTTTGCCTCCTCTCTCAACAGATTATTCTACCATTGGAGATTAATGTATTTGAACAAGGTGTAAAGCAAACTCTCAAGACAATCATTTTACTGTTTTCTCCCAGATGGCAACAGGCTGCCAGAGCATCCTAAGTGTTTTCTTCTTCTCCAAGACAGAAACGTAATTGAAAATCAACCGTGAAGAAGAGAACAGAAAAAGCTGGAAGTACTGACCTGTGGCATCACTGTATCCCCCCTAACAAACAACTGCAAATTCTTTTAGGAGAAGTGGAGATGAATGTTACACTGGTGAAGTACTAGCCTCTATAATTAGGTTTTCTGAAAGCTCGGTGCTCCAATCCAGCAAGCCTTACTCTGAGAGAACGTGACACCCACGGAAATGACTGTAATAGCCTCAGAATACACCTGGGTCCAGACAAGGCAAGATGAATGGGCTTGCATGGAAGCAAGGAGATGCCAGTTAGACGTTAGTAAAAAACCTTTTTCATGGCAAGGATAGTTGGGCAGTGCAGCAGAGCATGCAAGTTAGAAAAGCTGTATCTCTGGAGGATTTTAAGAGCAGATTAATTGATTCTCTCCTGAGGGAAGCCGCTTGACTAGGTGACATCTTAAGGCCATTTTCCATGACTCTAAAACCAATAGATTAATTTTAATCTTGTCAGCCCTTACTTCACTTCCTTGCTCTTTGCTGCAACAGCAAGGTCTGCATGAGAACTGGTTTTTTTTTTTTTTTCCAGGATAATGTCTTGGCTTCTGCTGCTCATTCTTCCCTTAATATTTATATCCTCTATTTGTGCTGCCTCAAATGCCAAACAGAAATCCCCATACTCTACATGACTACATAGATAAACTGTTGCAGTGAAGAAGAGCTGGATTTTGATATAGAAACCTAATTCTTATTGTAACAGCAGTTATGCAAGTTGGAGGAATTCAAAAGGGTCGGGCCATGAAGCACGGCAAAGAAAAAACTTACAAGGAGGAAGCAGACAACAAAGAACATTTCATGTTTCCAACTGGGTCCCAGCGGCAGCAACCACCCTCACTCCCAGAGGGAGTTCCTGAATCAAAACAGGATTTTATCACGGGCAGAGTTTTGCTCATGTGAGCAGGCCAAACTGAGGTCTTCTGAAGCATCTGCCAGCAAAGCTAAACACATGCTTAGCAGCTCTACAGAGAAACATGTTTTCACAATCGCTTACACGCAAGGCTAAGGGATGGATCAATGATTCCTAGTAGGAAAAGTAAGTTGTTCTTGGGATTCCACAAGCAATACGTTCATCCAAGAGAAATAATCAAGAATAACTTTTTAGGGAAGAGAGGAATTTTAACCAAAGGCAAACCCATTTATTTGAAGAGGTCATAAAAGATGAGTAAGTCCAGCTAGCAAACACAACAGCAATGGTCTTTAGACAAAAAGTTGGTGTTATGCAAGATTTTACATCTTGAAAAGTACAACAGAAGGGTAGAGCACAGCTGTGTGAACATCAACTGCTTTCTTTACATTTTAAATGATTAATGTTCATATAGCTTAGGGTATCCACACCTATAAACATATTCTAATTTTCAGACAACGGACACACATTTTCCTACTTCAGAGTAAAGGAATTAAAGAAAAACAACTGAAAGCCGTTCATTTTAATAACACTGCACGAGACAGCAAGTGCTGCTGGGCTGGACATTCTCATATTCATTTGACTTCATTGCGTGACACACATCTGGTGCAGAAGAAAAAAGTTATATCTGAAAGAGGTATTCTCCCTCTCAATTTTGCTTACCAATTACAGCAGAGTAACTTGAAATGTAGGGAGGATATGATACAAAGAGACAATAGGTTAACTAGTTACCAAACGTAATGCTGTTCTAAATCACAAAAAAAAAATATTTAAAGCATTGTTTTTATTTTGCATTTGTACTTTTAATTCCTTCTCTAAAGAAAGAATGGTTTTCATTAGTTGGTAAAAATTAAAACATGCTTCTCTGTAATTACATGGAGATTTTACACCAAACTTTGTAGTTCTTTACACTGAAATCTGTCTCTACTCATATATCTACGTAATTAAACAACTTGCTACACAGAGTTCTTTGTTCTTCAATTACAGTGATACATGGTGATATATGCTCTATACTTACTGACTGTTCACAGTTTATTAATTTGTATAGTTTTATTTAGATAGGAGTAAAATGATTAAAATATACAAAAGCTGAATTAAACATAAAGAAGCGATCTTTAACGTGCTGTCTAGCTAAGAAAAAGTGTAAAGGAAGGATCATGAAATGCTTGCATTTAAAATAGACATTAGCATAGAAAGCACTACCTGTAGCTACTAAATGGGGTGAAATATTTTTGGTGAAAATATTTGGGTTCCCCAAGAGCTTATTCTCCTCTACACTACCTTTACTCAGAGACCAGAATAGACTAACAAATGTCTCATCTTTTAAAATTCTCAGTTGTTCACATTGCCGTTGATGGGTATTAGATGAATACACTCCAGGAAGGACACTGTACTCAGTCTGTCCTTGGGTGAGAAGGCAACTGCCTTATGATGATTGAGCGCTTCAAGACATTCCTTTTTCTGGTGCTTAGTTGGTAGCTTCCACCAGCTTTGCAGTCTGGTTTTCTTTACAAACTCAGCAGCAAATATACACTACTAAATACTGCATTTATTAAGCTTAAGCCTTTATACTGCTTGCCAACTTCATTTTTATTTTACATAGGTTATTTCTGTTACAGAAAAATCCATTTACCTCGCTGGAAAGAGCTCTTTACTTCTACGGTCCCTCCAGGACTCTAACCGGGAAAAGCCACTTCTTACAGCACCAGCTCCCTTCGGTGGCTGCTCCTCCCAGCAGAGAGAGGCCCTCGTGTTTGGCCCGGGAGCGCTGCCAAGGACGACAAGGTGAAAAGCGCTAGACTGTCTTCTTGGGGGGGCGGTCTGTATGGGGCAGGACCAGCCAAAGGGGAATTTACTGGTGGCGTGCCAGGCAGGGAGCAGCCCGCCCGCACCCCCGCTGCCAAAGCAGCCAGGTGCTGCACGCCACCCTCGCGGCAGGCAGCGAGAAAGCAGCAAAATATACTCATCGTCTGAATTTTGCAGTAGTCATGGGTGGAGGATTCCTGGATGTGTGCAATTCTTCTTTGCTCTATGCACACACCTACGTGTATAGATGTATACATACCTACAGACAGAAACACCCACACTCTGGAAGGCTACAGGAGCAATGTAGGTTTCTCTGGCTTCCGTTGGTTCGCCTCACAGTATAATCATCAGTAACTGCAGTGCATAAATAGCTGTGAGGTGGTGGTTGTCAGATGGTGTGAGTTGGGGCTGTGCCTGGCTGCAGGCTCAGCCTTCTGATAAAACACGTGAACTTCGCTTTTTTTTGCACTTGGATTTTATTTAGACTGGTTTCTGATCTTAAATACTCTTAAAAGGCTCTTCAATACAAATGTGAATGAAATCACAGAACTGCCCCTTGAAGTCACCTTAACCACCTCTCCTCATCATAGAAGCAAAATGGAAAAATTAGGTAGATCTGGCTTAAAGCCGAAATAACAATCTGCATATGCTACATAAACCCAGCTGTCGCACCAAAGGACCCCCATTTTATGACCTTTGAAACAGCCAACCATATGGAGGGCAACAAACTACAACATTTACATTTTAGTTTTTTTTTTTTTAAACTGTGTTTGCTTTGGCATTCTTTTAGATTACTAAAAAGAATGTACTATACAGTAAGGCAGCCTTCCAGTGCAGCCTGCACATGCCTTGAAGGAAGACTAAATGGGTATGCAGAGACCTTGGAGTGCCATATTTAGACAAAATGATCCTAAAGACATTCTCCACCTCAAAAGAGAATTTCGGAGTGACGCTTTCTCCAGCGCCCTGCCATTTCGGCAGGTGCGACGCGGAGGCTTGCTCCCTAGCGCTGCTCCTGGATGAAGTCGCAGGGAGCCCAGCGCCCTCGGAGATCTGTCAGAGAGAGGTGAGCCAGGCTGCAGCCAGCGCAGGAGGGCTACAGGCAAGCATAACTGCGGGCTTGCCTGGCTAACGCTCGCGGCAGCAGAACCCCACGCCGAGCTCTGCCGCTCTAAGGCTGTGTGAACACGATGGCTGTCACAGATAGAGTAAACTAATTTCCTGGAACTACACAGGGAGGCCCCGTGTTTCAATCGTACGCAGCTGAGCTGCAGCACATACCTACTTCTCCACAGTTTTAAATGGAAATAAATGTATGTCACTGTCGTCAGATGTGATGTAT